GATAATAACTGTCTTGTTTCTGTTGGATGCCCAGTGCCAAGGAAACCATTTAACACATAGTGGGTGCTGCAAAGATTTGTCAAATGGATGAATGCTGTTTTCCAGATTCTTGGTCTTATTTCAGCTAGATATAGGTTAGAGTCAAGGATTTTAGGTCTTTCCCTATGGAGCGTGAAAAGACCCTAGGAATTAAATCTCTGTGAATTGGGTCCCGTTTCCACCATTGCCACTTACTAGCTATTTAACTGCACTGCTCTGAGCTTCAGTTTCTTCCTCAGTAAAATGGAGTTAATGAGCTATCTTATTCATAGGGTAAGGACTAAATTGGATTTAAATATGATTGGAGGCAAACTATTTAGCACATAGTGGACATCTTCTTTCTCTGTTGAAACTTGATGCAACATGTTGTCATATTTACGTTTTTCCCTCCTGGTACTCAAGGACAGGGGCAGGCACTTGTTCTTTGCATGGCCAGTATCGAGCTCTGCTTGGCTTATAACACAGTAGTAGGTGGTCCACAAATGTCTAGATTAATTCTGACTCTTACCACCGAAGAACCGGTGTCTCCTGGCTCTTGTCCAGGCCATGTGCCTTTGATCAAGTTACCACTCTTTGCCCAGAGAGAGAGAGAGAGACGAGATGGCCACTGGCTGTACAGGGAAAGCCTGAACGGACAGCAATGGCCCAGGACTAAATCTGATTTACGTCTTTACTGTCATTGCTAGGATTGTATACAATTAATGTGAATTGATCCCAGTATAACTTTCTAATAAAGGGGATGTAGGAAAAAGACATAGATCACATGATTCTTTTGTAGTTCCTAGCGCTTAGGCTTTTCATGAGATATCTTCCTTCCTTTATGTTCATTAATGAAATAAAGTATATATGAAAATATTCTGAAAACTGGAAGTTCTGTATTACATACATGTATCTGTATAAGGTGGTATGAGTGTGATTTCTAGATAAATGATTGATTCAGAAAGATGAGCTGTTGAGTAAACATTCATTCAGAAATATTTTTTGAATGCCTGCCGTGTGTCAGGCACTGATTTGGGTATTGGAAATATAGCAATGAATAAAGCAGATAAATCCCTTTCTTCATAGAACTTACAGTCTAGTGGGAAAGAAGACAATAAAGAGAAAAAAAATATGTAGTGTGGCAAATGGTGACTAAGAGCTACAGAGAAGAAAACAAAGCAGGCAAAGGATAGGGAGGGTCAGGGGAGTCGAAATTTTAGACAGGTTGGAATTATATATCTCTTTCCTCTCCCACTCCTACTTGTGATCAGGATTCATAACATAGTTACTTTGCCTTCTAGTGTCACATCTAAATGATGTTGTCAGTTAGGCAAACAGGAAATCTGATATGTGGTTCATCAAAGCTTCTAATAATAATTTATTTCATGTTTCTGTCAGCCATATTCATAAAAAATTACTTTAAAATATTAAAATACAAATAGACATCATCCTTATCTGATATCCTAATTTTACAATCATTTTTTAAACAGTGGGTCTTTTTTTTTCAGAGTATTGTTTCCTTCCTTTCTTCCTTCCTTCCTAGGTTACATTGGTTTACAACATTATATAAATTTTAGGTGTACATCATTATATTTTGACTTCTGTATAGACTGCATCGTCTTCACCACCAAAAATCTAGTTGCCATCCATCACGTGTGTCCCTTTACCCCTTTCGTCCTCCCCTCACCCCCTACCCCTCTGGTAACCACCAATCTGTTTTCCATATCTATGTGTTTGTTTGTTTGTTTGTCTTCCATGTATGAGCAAAGTCATACGACAGCTGTCTTTCTCTATCTGACTTATTTTGCTTAGCATAATACCCTCAAGGTCCATCCATGTTGTTGCACATGGCAAGATTTTGTCTTTTTTATGGCTGAGTAGTATTCCATTATATAATACACATACACACACACACACACACACACACACACACACACATACACCACATCTTCTTTATCCTTTCATCCGTTGATGGACACTTGGGTTGCTTCCAAGTCTTGGCTATTGAGAATAATGTGGCTAATGTGGCAGTGAATGTAGGGGTACATATATCTTTTCTAATTAGTGTTTTCATGTTCTTTGGATAAATAGCCAGAAGTGGAATACCTGGATCATATGGTAATTCTATTTTTAATTTATTGGGAAATCTTCATACTATTTTCCATAGTGGCTACACCAGTTTGCATTCCTGCCAGCAATGATTCCTGGTGCCTCTGGGAGCATGGGCTGCCTGGGTTCTTGGGGCCTCCATTCATGGGCGTTACCTCAGTTCCTGGGGCCTCTGGCTGTAGGCATGGCTGCAGTTCCTGGAACCTCCGGTCTCAAGAGCTTCCGCCACCACTCCCCCGGTTCCACTACCTCCAGGAGGTCTAGTCCACTCACCTTCAGATGTATAGATGTGTGGATCTCTCAGGCGTTCTGGTGTGCTGTGCAGAGAGTCTTTTGTTGGTGTATGGATGTCCCACTGTTGGTAGCTTAGAAGGGAAAGACAAAGGGAACAACTCACTCTGCTGTGATGCTGACATCACTCTAAACAATAAATCTTAATAAATACACAAATATTTTAAAGTCCAAAAGCCTAAACTCAACGACTTGTATAATTACTGATATTAGCCTTTGAATATACTGTTGTTCCTATATTACCTAAAAATATCAGTTGCTTTTGGAGCTGAAAGATTAAATCAAAGCTATGTTATTAAAATTGATTTGAAAATGATGGCTACCTTCTAAATATTAATGTGAAAAACGGTTATTATTAGGAGGGCTGTGACCTGAAGCATTAGGTCAGTTTGATTTTGATTTTCATACACAAAGAAAGGATGAATACAAGAATTCCAGTAGGTCTGATCCCCTTTTCCAGAGAAGTTGGGAAGTTGTTTACTCTTTGAGGGCCCACTGCTGACGTCTGCTCACTGAGTAATGTCATCAGATTTCCTGGTGGTGGTTATTTTGGTGGGGGTAGTGGTGAGTAGTTGTCCAACTCTGCTGGGATACTGCTCAGTAGAGGTCCTGAGAGCCGGATGTACCCCATAGACAGGATGTAAGGTTAAAAAGCAATCTAGTTAAGTAAATAAATAGAATTGCTGAAACATTAATGTTTTAAAATGATATTGCTAAAATTCTACTAAGGCAAAATTCATAATCTTTAAAAAATTAATCTATAGCTTCTTTTATCTCTTAAAAATTAATGCAGTGGTGAGTTATTTTTATAAGTTGAGATCATAAAGTTATGCTGTCCTTTGTCTGTAAAAGTTAAGTTATTTCACCCACTGTTGTTGTAGATGGTGTACTCAGAGTTGTTTTCACAGGAGGGGTGAGGCTTTTGCCCTGAGCTATCTGTGCTTTTATCTTGTCCCTCAGTTTGTGACCAAAACTCTGTATACATATATATGTATTTTTTAAAATCACACTAGTCATTAACATTTTAAGTTATTAATTATTGCCTTTAACTTTATTTTTCTCATCCTGGATTCCTTAAGTTTGTACTGTTGACTTTTTCAAACAGTGATTTGAAAGCTAGTATATTTACTTAATTTTTGTTTCATAATAAAAAGATTTAAGACTTTGAATTTTGCCTCTGAGTAAAATTTAGCAGTGTCTTGTACGTTTTATTACATGAGATTCTCACTCACTTTTGTTATTTTCCAAGTGATCTGTAGGTATAGTTTGTATTTCCATTTCTGATACAGCAATTGCGTGAGTTAATATTTTAAAATTTTCCAGGGAAGGTGTATTTGTTGTTGTTTTTGTTTAAACTTATATTTTTAATTTATAGTTTGATTCCATTATGGTTGAAGAATAAAAAGTGTACAAGTTTTACTTTGAGGACTATGTTTTGAGGTTTTCCTTGTGACCTAGTATATCATATGTTTGTAAACTATTCATAAATTTTTTCTTTCTCTCCTTTCCGACTTTATTTTTTATCTACCTGACTCTTCACAGCAAATCTCATGAGTATCCTCTGTCAGAGGCTGCATGCCCCCTTCATGTAGAGGACACATGTGCTATCTAACCACTTCTTTATCTTGGGCAGTAGCAGCATCCCTCCTGGTGGTGTCTTTTCTGCTTTCTCTTTTGAAGCCTAGTGCCAGGGTTCATCACTTGGGGCTGAATTTCAGCCCCACATTCTCCCTCACTTGGGCTTCTTTGCGGAGTGCACAGAATGCCCAAAACCTTTCAGTTGCCCTGGGTTTGCCTCACATGTTATAGAGCGTCACAGTCCTGGGCTGGAACCCCAGCTGCCACTTGCTGGTTGTGTGGCCTTAAACAAGGCACATGGAACCTCAGTTTTCCCACTCTAAATTCTCACCGTGTTGCTTCAAAGACTGAGCGAGATGACACATGGTCAGCCCTTAGCACAGTGTGCAGTGTATGCTGAGCCCTCCACTGGCGCTATGATTATTATTACTCACTGGGGTTTGGTTATGACATTGTATTTATCTTTGTGTATTTTAGTGTTAAATTCTCAATAGATAAGCATTTATTGATACGCATTAAGCTCCTCTGTAAAATGAAAAGTGTTAACTATTTCTCAATGAGATTTCTTTGGCTCTGATGTCGCATGGTTCTGACTGCTGGATTTTGTTGTTTATGTGCCATTTTAGATGTAAACATGATTTCATAGTTCATCAGGGGAAGGATGGAAGTAGAATGGAAGGAACTCATGTTCATTCAATGTCTGATCTTTGGGGGCTCTTTTTATTATAATCTCATTTGATCTTCGTAACTAATGAGAAATTGAAGCTGAGGGAGGTTGAGTAATTCACTTGAAGTCACACACAGTTAAGAAAAGAAAAGCCAGGATCAGACTCGTTTTCTTTGTCCGTGCCTGCTCTCTGCCTTTCCTGGGGTTTATAAGGAGATCCCTGGGATTCCTCTGTCTAATAACTATTTAGTTTTTACGTAATTATTCTCTGGAGTAGAAATTTCACTTTCATCTCTGGCACTGTTTAGAGAGAGAAAATTTTAAGCAAGCTTATTTTTTTTTTCTTTCATTTTTAAGCAAATCTTTTTCTTACAGGTAGCAGTAGCTGATGTGGAATTTGGCCCCATGAGATTTCATCCACATCAACTCCAGGTAATACTGAACCATGCTGTAATTTTCACATGTTGATTTTCTTTAAAGAGGGGGAGGGAAAGGGCCTCAAGTTATACATTAAAAATAGTCTTCTATTTTAGATAATAGTATTGGATCAATGTTAAATTTCCTGAACTTGATAACAGTACTGTAATTATATAAGAGAATATACTTTTCTTAGAAATACACATTGAGATATTTAGAGATGAAGAAATATCTGCAACCTGCTTTTTTTTTTTTTTTTTTTAAAGATTTTATTTATTTATTTTTCCCCCAAAGCCCCAGTACATAGTTGTCTGTCATAGCTGCACATCCTTCTAGTTGCTGTATGTGGGACGCGGCCTCAGCATGGCTGGAGGAGTGGTGCCTCGGTGCGCACCCGGGATCCGAACCCGGGCCGCCGGCAGCGGAGCGCACGCACTCAACCGCTAAGCCACGGGGCCGGCCCCTGCAACCTGCTTTAAGAGATTCAGAAATAAAGAAAAGAATGTGTATTATTGTGTGTGTGTGTGTGTGTGTGTGTGTGTGTGGAGAGAGAGAAAGCAGAGGTGGCAAAACGTTAACAGTTGATGAAACTAGAAGATGGGTATGCTAGTGTTCGGTGTCATTCACAACTTTTCTATGGGTTTGAAATTTTCCAATATAAAAAAGTAAAAGCATAGTCTTCTCTCTGTTGCTGAATCAGCTCTATCACAGAGAAAATATCTATAAATTGTCTAATCCAAAATATTAGACAAAATAACCAATTGAAATTTAACTCCCAAGTTATTTGATGCTTCCTGCACACAAACCCCTGTTAACTATTATATTTTTTAAAAATACAAAAAGGACTGGCAGAAATGTGTGCTCTCTTAGTTCTGGGCATTTGTGGTATTTGTGCACTTGGGTAAACTTAGGGGAACTAAGCCTTACTGTCAGCTTAGAAGTCTCTTTGTCCTAGGCTGCCCCTCTCCTGCCTTACCACTGTTGCCTGCGTTAGTCAGTCTGGGTCTGAAGGGCCAGAGCAGTGTGCTCCTGAACCAGATCTGTTTGGTTGGGGGCCCTGGCTGCACAGGGGAGAGGCATCAGACCCAGGCCTCACCTGATCCGGGCCAGGCACGGGGACAGCCAGCCGTCGTCCTGGACAGTCACACAGAAGCTGCCTTTTGTACCTGGTGCTATTCCCGTGTCACTTAACTGGCAGGTTTTGAAGTGTAACATTTTGGTCTACTTTAAATCTCTCTTATAATCAAAGTAATTTTTTTTAACTTGGAGGAATTACATAAAAATCGGAATCAAAACATTTAAATACATTATTTAAAGTATTAAGTATTCTAGGAGTTTGACTGAAATATTAGTGTTTGCCATCTAAGGACTTACCTAGTTAACTTACTGTTAACTAAAATAAATATTTGTGTATTTTAATTGTTTTAGTTTCAAGATGGAATGCTTAATCAAGCCTTTGTTGAGTTCTGTCATTGGGCTTATGAGCAAAAGAAATAAATGTATGATCCATGTACTTGGACTTCCAGATTGAGAACAGATAGAATAGCACTGATTTCAGGGAGCTGAGTCCCTGAGTTATGTGTAGGTGAAGGATTTATATCAACAGATTGTTATGTTCACATCTGTGTACTTGCCTTGAAAATGCTTGGGAGTTTTCTATGGCTTTGTTAAGAAACAACAATTCTAACAACATCTCTTTTTTTTTTTTTTTTTTTTAAATGTGTTCATGCTTTTTTGATTCAGGTACTTTTAGTGTTTACCAAAGAAGATAACCAGTGTAATGGATTCTGTAGGGCATGTGAAAAAGCAGGGTTTAAATGTACAGTTACCAAGGAGGCTCAGGCTGTCCTTGCCTGTTTCCTGGACAAACATCATGACATCATCATCATAGACCACAGAAATCCCCGACAGCTGGATGCAGAGGCGCTGTGCAGGTAAGCCTGAGACTCAGGCTTCAACAGTCCCATTGGTATTTGTGACAGTAAATGCAGCCCAGAAATACATTAAGTTAAATTCAGTGTCTTTAAAGTTGCCTTCCATGCATGTAAAAGAAGCAAGACATTAGAACATCCTTGTTTCTAGGACTGATCTTTCTCTCTTTTGTTTTATTTTGCTTTGCTTAAAACAGTGAGAAAATATGAATGAGAACTATTAAGGGTTAAGATGAAACCGAAACCCAATATGTAATTAACCATAACTATCACCTCTATTTTACTGCAATGAGTTATTATAATTTTTCAGATTTTTTTTTTTTTTTTTGCTGAGGAAGATTTGCCCTGAGCTAACATCTGTTGCCAAACTTCCTCTTTTTTTTTTGGTTTGAGGAAGATTCGCCCTGAGCTAACATCTGTGCCAGTCTTCCTCTATTTTATACGTAGGTCACTGCCACAGTATGGCCACTGACAAGTGGTGTAGGTCTGCACCCAGGAACTGAACCTGGGCTGCTAAAGCAGAGCGTGCTGAACTTAACCACTAGGCCACAGGGCCAGCCCCTCCAGATTTTTTTCAGTTATAAAAAATTTGAAAATTGTTTTCTAATATTAGGTGAATGTGTCTTGTTTACAATACTTGCAGAATATCAATGTTATGAGAGAATTCTGGGTAGCAGACATAAATCTAAGAAAAGTGCTTTATAAAGAAAATTATCTGCTGCTGATGGAAGCAAGGCAAAGTGAAATACCCATTTCATTTAATAGAAAACTTTATTTTGGGGAAGACATTGTAATTTTAATATAAAACTTTATAACATATTAATTTTAAAGACATTTAAAATCTTTTTGGAGAGAGAAAAGATTTAAACCAAATATAATAAGAATTAAAAACTGAGATGACAAGAAAATGGCATCCTATCAAACGGGTGTTTGCAGGTATGTGGTGATTTCCTTGGTGGTGAGAGCCCACCCTTCAGGTAGTCAGACTCGGTGGTTTTCACCCAGGCATGATCCGCCTCCAGTAGATCTTCCCCTCTGGCCTTCTTCTAGCGCCTGCCATGCTGCCTGTGTTCCTCTCCTGTTTCTGTCTGGTTGATTGCAGTAAGCCATTGCCAGTGTAGCCCAGATTTGTTGACATATCATCTGGCCAGTTACCTGGCACATCCAGGAGGGATTGCAGCCCAAGAGATATGGAGAGAGCTCTGGCTCAGGTGGAAGGAGGCCTGGGTCCTACGCGTGGCTCTTCCCCTGATCAGCTGCTTGCCTTTGAGTAACCTCTGCCTTCTCTGGGGATCTGTTTTCTCAACTGTAAATTTTGAACACTTGGTTTCCAAGATCCTTTCTATCTCTAACATTTGATGGCTATCACTCAGAGGAAGGAAAGTTATATGGTGCTTGGTAGTCTTGGTGGGTTGCTGCACGGCAGAAGAAGTATCTAAGGAGGGCCAAAGAGCCCAAATAGAAAAGATGAGGGAGGGGGTGAAGTGCTGAGGAAAACTTGGCTTCTTTCCTGGTCTTGTCCAGGCCCATACGTAGTTACAGGTATGTGCTGGACAGTGGAAATTTGTACTCATAAAGATGACTCTTCTAGATCATCCTGTGTTGTAAAAGAAAGGTCAAGGGGCCAGCCTAGTGGCATAGTGGTTAAGTTCGCACGCTCCACCTCTGGCAGCCCAGGGGTCGCAGGTTTGGATCCTGGGCGTGAACTCACACACCACTCATCAAGCCATCTGTGGCAGGCGTCCCACATAAAGTGAGGAAGATGGGCACAGATGTTAGCCCAGGGCCAATCTTCCTCAGCAAAAAAGAGGAGGATTGGCAACAGGTGTTAGCTCAGGGCTGATCTTCCTCACACACA